GCTAGCAGGAGTCAGCCTCTGGACCCCTCCTGCTCACCCGCCGGCGCAAACGCCGGCGCGCTCTAACAGACCATGCCTGTTTGCGCGCTCTGTTCGTGCGGCTCCCTACCGGCTCTGCAAAGAGGGATCCGGGGGGCTTCCCCTCCGGATCTGGCTCAGCTGCACCGGTCTCTCCGCCCCACTTACCTTATGGGGATCAGCTGCTGCTGCCCCCGCTGCTGCTCTGCTCACCTCCGCTGCTCTCGCCTCTGCGTCGTTCCGCTCTGGGTCTGGTAAGGGGGGCACACGTGTGTACAAAACACACATGTGCCTGTGTCCTCCTTCTTCCCGCTGCTCCTAGCTCCCAAGTGTGAGACCCGAGCAGGGGAGAGGACCCCGGCAAAGGGGCAGGGGGCCAGGCCTGGCTTAGGCCACCTGAGCCACACTGACGGCGCACCAGTAAGAAGCCTGAGGGCGGCTCACGTCTGGCCACGAGAGAGAGGGGCCACACGAGCAGAAGTCCCGGGTGGGTGTCGCTAGGAAGACAAGCCCAGTGAGGGTGAGTAAGTGATTAGAAAGAGCCTGGCAAAAGCAGAGGGAAGCCGCAGGAGCGGGCGTGTATGTGAGAGAAGCCCAAGGGAGGGCGCACATGAAGGAAGCCCCAGGAGAGGCACATCTGATTGATAGAAACCCCTGTTGGGGTGCAGACTGGGCAGAGTCCCAGAGGGCTCTACAGGGGTGGGACCCCAAAGGGTCACAGGGGCCAGGTAAGGCTCAGGCCGCCTGAGCCCAACTGGCACAAGTACTATTAGTAAGCATGAGAGGGCTAACGACTAGAGGGGCGCCGGTTGCGTGACGAGCCCAGAGGCGCTAGGGAAGGGGCGCCGGTTGCGTGACGAGCCCAGAGGCGCTAGGGAAGGGGCACCGGTTGCGTGACAAGCCCAGGGGTGCTAGAGAGGCGCCAGTTGCGTGACAAGCCCAAGGGCGCCTGGCAGGGTGTGGAGAGGAAAGGGACCAGATAACGTCCGGAAGAGCTGTGAGGCTTGGGGCGTGCTAAAGGGGAGGTAGGAGGCACGCATAGCCCATAAGGCTGGGAGTGCACCAGGTCACCCCATAGAGAGTAGGAGCCCGGATAGTTATAGCACTGTGTCCAGGTAGACTAAAGGCAGCCTCCTGTATAAAACTATATACCAACAAGACGTGCCGGGCGAGAATAGAGGGGGCTGGATCGCCTGCTTGGCACGGCAGGGGGCGCTAGGGGGGATCACGGCCGCCTCTAGGCCCTACTCCGTGACAATAAGCCTTCTGGAGAAGTACACCAAAGTTTAATTCTTCATTCTCTGCTGTAGTGGTTTATTTAGGCCTTAATTTGAATATTAATCCTTAGTTTTATTGCAGGTACTGTGAGATGTTCCAAGCAACAGGCAGGGCTATGCCATGTCTTGGTGACTTTTTTTAAATGCTTGTCCTTGTATGTACTTTGAGTCTGAGTGTGCCCCATGTATCTGAAAGCAGGCACTTGGTTAGGAGTGCCCATTGTGTCTCTTCATGTGCATTAGCTAATCTTATGTGCACAAACAAATATGTAGGGCGGTGTAGGACCAGGTGCTGTTCCAGTTCCTTTTTGCTGCTTGCGCTTTGGGATGGAGCCTGAATGTCTCAATCTAGTCTGGCCTGCTTATTTATCCTTTTAGTGTCTGTAGTTGGAGTATAGACACAATGATCCATTACCTGGAGGACTTGTAGTTCCTCTCATACTCTTTTTACCCCCATCCTCAGCTACTAGACCAAAAAACTCCAGGATGCAAGAACTACGTGATTTTTGTCTATGAAATTTCCTCCCCCAACAATGTCTGCCATATGTTTAGAGAAGACCTATGTTCTCCTGAAATGTAGTATCTGCAGATCCTTCTCTTGAAGAAATCAAGTCAGTTTGCCTCAAAATGTTCCTTACAGACATAACTTGTGAGGCCCGAATCTGATCAGAGACACCCAGACTGGGATTTGAGAGTCTAGGAGCTTTCCCTTGGCTTCAGTTCTGGGACCTTCCAGAAATAGTTCCCTGAAAACAATCTCATAGGAAGAATGAGGAGGAAGGGGAAAAGGAGCATAAATTATCCCCCAAATTCTTCAAGAGAATGATTTCATCTTCTTGTTACGAAAGCTAGGAGATCTCATGTCTCTGGCTTACAGCTAGGGCTCCTATGGAGTGCAGTACCATCTGGATACTATATTGATCTTTTGTTCCTGCTCTGAACCATTATGTAGCCTAGTTGTGTGCTGCACAACTCTCCAAGGCAGCTCTAACAGTAAAGTGGTTTCTCCCCATCTTTAGTAGTCTCTAAATTTGCAAAAGTTTTATGAAATAAAAAAACCAGGCTTGTGTTTATTATTCATTAGGATACTCAAGTAGCGTTAGACGATAGAGCATGTAATCTTAACAACCTGCATAAACATGTGCCCTGAAGTCAGTGTATGAGTGTAGCAAGCTTACAGTGTGGTTCTTAACAAGTTTGATTCAGAATGCAATTGCAGTCCATGAAATATATATCTGAGAAATGCTGTCCTCTTTGCTATGCAAACTTTTGACATCAGGAAGAAGTTTACAGCAGCACTTGGTGTTTGCCTTATTTTGCCTGCATCAGTGTCGCTGCATTGAAGTTGCTGAAGGAACAAAATAGAGATCATCTGAATGTCTTGCCGTAGAATAATAGGGGTCAGAGGCCAAAGAGTTAACTACAGAATAGAGAGAGACCAAAAATGCCCTTAATCTCCATTGAAATTTCAACAGAATTTGAAAATCTCCACACTGGGATGAGCGTGCAGCCTTCGGGAGCTTTGTGGAAAAATAGAACAGTTTTCTGTAAAATAATCAGTTGCTTGATGTTCATCTGAAACACAGGGTCAGGTCCTTGGCCTAAGTCAGATAGACTGGGTCTTTCAGACCCTGGTCTCTCACCTTCTGGCTGAATTTGACTGCCAGCCTAATGTCTGTTCTGGATGGGAATTTTGGGGCTTTGACCCAAGTGCCACGATTACCTGGGAACATCATGACCTTAAAGTTTTCACAAACAACATGTTGGGAAAGTTGTCTTGGGATTTTGCCAAATTGACGTTTTCCAACAAGACTTTTTTTAATTTTCCATTTGTTCTTCTCCAGTACTTAACTCCATCTAGGTTCTCATGTAGCGAGGTTCCTGACAACGAACTTTCTTCTCTTTGGTTTTAGCTGCCAGGTACTGCAGCATGCTAATTGAAGAAGGTGGACTGCAGCATTTACATGACATCAAGGAAAATGAGCAGACTGATCCGGACGTCCTACAAATCACTGCTGAGATACTAGATAGTGTAGATACACACACAAGGTACTATGGGAGACCTAAATCTTTACAGAAACCAGAAGCCAAATGAAATGGATAGCTGCAGGTATAGCTTAACTATCCTTTGCATCTCTTCACAGACTAATGGGAATGAAAATCGTGTATTGTGCTCTTTTAAGGGGTGTAGGATCACTTCTTAAGAGGGTCATTCCTGTAAGGTTACTGCTGACTGCGTTGAGGGCCTTTAAAGTGTGCACAGCCTGAGTCCCTTAGGAATCCGCATGTCCTAAGGGAGGAAATGAAGCTTTGAACCAGATTTTTAGATGCCTAGCACCTACATACCTCTAAAAATCTGTCCCATTACCTCTTCCATTACTGTCTGGAAACGGCTTCTATTGCTTAGGCAAGCAGGGCTGGAAACAGAGCTTTACATGCTTGCAAACCAGCATTTTTGCACTCGTATATGTGCACTTACTTACCACTGTGACCGAAGTGTCAGTTGCAGGGCCATCCCCAGCCAAACCTGTAAAATCACTCAAGTTCCCTGTAAGCCATGCTTCTGGTCTAATTTTTCTAATACTGGGCCATTATCACATGCTACTTGCTAACTTTTCTCCTTCCTGTGCTGAATCAACCATGTTGGAATTAGGCTTGTGTAAAAAGGAGTGATTGGATTGGTTCTACTGGAGTTGCAATAGGACAAGTCAGGAGAAATTTGTGAGGGCAAGAATCCAAAGGTGAGCATAGAATTGTACCTAGAAACTTGGTGAACAACAGAACACCTGAGACTGTACCCACATAGTACATGGAACATAAGTCATCACCATATGTGGAAGCTACCTGTTGCTTTAGTGTTTCCAAGTTCTCCCTTAGCAGTGCGCACATGTTCCCCATTTGACACTAGTGGGCGTGAAATACATGTCCGTGGAAATGCGTGATACATGTTGTGCAGTGAATTATATTTCCAAAGACTTCTAGTGCAAAGTATCACCAACATTGTGTAAATCCTTGTGTAAATCTCATTGCTATGGAACTGTAAATTTTAAAAGTTTATTTTTAACAAGTGAGTTTTTCCAAAGGCTTTTTTTAGTTTTCATATAATAAGATAAAACAGCAAATCAAGGACTAGTACTTGGATATGTATCGTGTATGGACATCTTCATGCTTAGACTTGGTTGGTTGTGACATTACTTGAATTGTGCAGAAAGAAATGGATTGCATCAACATACCAGTATGTCGGTTAAAGTGTAACCGTTGATGGAATAAAGTGGGTGCCATGAAACCAGATTGCTCGTTTCAAAGTGTTCCATTTCTGTAAACATGCTGGGCTGACTTCGTAGGCAAAGGGGTTGCTAGCACATTGTTCTGCACTGTTTGCAGGCTGGGAAAAAGTTCAGTATTTGCCCTTCCTTTAACCTCTTTAATTTGTTTAAATCTCAGTAAAGACACGGGGTAATGAACATCTTGAATATTTACCTATTTTACTCAAGGTAGTTACAACATGCTTTTTTGTCTCCTGATCTACTTGATACTCTTTGTGGCTAATGCTTGCATCTTTCAGACTGGCCAGTTACTTCTGTTAGTTTTATTTTCGGAGTCCTAGAAACCCAAATATGCATTGCTAGTAGAGCAGGAAATGGGTGGGCGTGTGTTTGGTAAAATCAGTTTGGGGCCAGACTTCTCTTCAGATTCTACAAGTTCCTTATGGCAGATTCAGCCACCTATTTAGGAAGCTGGTAGCCATCTAGTTACAGACTCTTTACCTGTTCTCTAAACCTTCCCGTTTGGACAGCTGCTTGCTATAAACTCTGCGTTCCAGTTTGTAATGCTAGAATTAACATGGACTAGCTCTCTAGTTGACACCTTGCTAGTGCCATGTGTTGTTTTTTTTTCCTCAGCACTTGCAAAGTCAAGAAGTTTCTCCTTCATCTTATGAAAAAAAACCAGAAAGTGTGAAGTGCAGACATAGCAATTAGCTTAGTTCAGTGATATTTTTTTTTTGTTAGGGTTTACCTGGAGAGGTTGAGGAAATCCAAGTGGAGAATGTATTAAAAATGTCTAAAGGACACAAACACAGTATGTGGCAAATCTAGTTGCAGTAGCTTGGAAAGTTCCCTTTATAAAAATGATACTTTGGGGAATAGTAGCAAAATTGAGTGTAAAAAATCCAGCTACATGCATACAGTGCCTGGAGGGTGAATTAATATTAATGCATGTGACTTATGAACATGATCAAAAACAAGTGTGTAGTAGTTCCAGGCTCTAGACTTGCACAGCAGCCTTACCAGAGGATGACTCTAGACAGGACTGGGCTGCAGAAACTTCCTATTTTGGCAGGCTCATGCCTTGTTTGCTCATAGACTAAGTGTATATTCATGGTGCCTTAAAGGCTGGTGTAATGCAACTGGCTCTCTGGGAGTCTCCATGATGGCTGCTATAAAATGGCTGAAGATGATGTGTTTCTAGTAGCTTGCAGTGAGAAGGCAGAAAGAACAAAGGAGCTGCCCTTAAGAGCTTAGACATCCTCACTCAGCCTCTTACAGTGTAACTGACTTGTCCCCGGTACCCTTAAATACTCCTCATCTTCTTAAATATCAGTCTTCTTCCTCCCCCACTCCCCTTTTTTTGGTTTGTGTACTGATTTTGCAATTAAGGATGTTTAACTGCTTCAGCTTTCAGGATAACACAGGCTAGGTTCATAAAAGCAACTTGCAAAGCCTTTAAATTGCAGGTAGGAAGAAGTAGCTAAACCAGTGCCCTCTTCCAGAACCCCATACTCTGGCTTGGGCCAGCTGTAGAGAAGCAGCATAATTAGGTTGCCTTGTTACAGTGCAGAAGCTAAGAAAAATTGGCTGTGGTCAAGCAAGCAGCAGCTGTTCCTAGTCACCAGGACTGAATATGCCAAAGAACTAGTGGCCTGGTTACAGGGCAGCAAGGCACGTTTCCTTCTGAGATGTTCTTAATGAGCACATCACAACCAGTTCTGCAAAGAATAAGGCACTGACCTTTATTGGGAGTCTGTGTACAGTACAAAAAGCAAGCATGGAAAACTAGTTAAAAACTGGTATCAAAGAGTTCTGGTCCAACGTTGCCAGTAGTTACCTTAAACCAGCAGGCACAAAGAGAAGCCAATGCTTTCCCTGTTGTGCCTGAAGACAAAACTCTTCTAGTCCCAGAAGACCAGTTCTGGGCATGGGTTTGCTTTTGGTTAAATTTGCCACCAGTTTGAAATGCTCACTTAATAGAAGGAGTTGGGCTCCATTTTTTTTTTTAACTGATGTTCACTGCTAGCCTGTTTCAGAGTCAGATTGCTAGGGAAATCCCCAATCAATATCTTGTAGTCATTCATCATTTTACAAATCTAAGCCTTTTAACTTATTCAGCTAATTACAGTGAACATATTGGAATTATCCTTTAAAAAAGCTGGCTCTTCTGGAGTGTCCAGGAATGTCACCCATGCCAGAGTTTATGAACTTAGTCATAGCAATTTAACCATTCCAATACACTTCAGGTTCTGCGTCTTGGCCCTTTTATTTCCTAAGGAATCCTGCCACCAAGGAAGGGGGAAAGCTTTGAATCATCATTCCCCAATGAAGTGAGGTGGACGTTTCTCCTTGAAAGCAGCCATTCCTTCCTGCCGGTCTCTTGTAGGAATGTTCTGCATTTAAAAGAAAGGAAGCTGTTTGTTTCCCTTGTGAAATAAGACACAAGTTTCAAGTGATCCTAAGTGAGTTGTACATTAGCCCTAGAACTCTTACAGATATTCAGGGGATACCACTGCTGGGTAGGCAAGTCTTGGCCTGTACATGACAAGCAGGAAAATGGAAAGGTGGTAGGTAACATGTCTTATAAGTAGAAACCTACCGAAATCACGATTGTGCTATTTTCCCTGAAACTATGGCTCTGCAAAAAAAAAAAAAAAAAAAAAAAGCATGGGCTCTGTGCTTTTGGCAGGTTCATTGCCAAAACCGCCCCTGACTTGCCAGCAAGCAGAGAAGCCCTGCAGTCTTGGGGCCCGGGCAAGGAGGGGGTGCAGGGAAGACCACAGACAGTGTACAGAGCATTTGCTATGATGATCCCAGTAAAGTTATGAGGGGCTGGCAATTCGCAGGTTGTACCTGACTTGCTGCCCTCCTCTTTCTTCCCTCCCCAGGTGGTGATGGCCTTTTGCCCTGTGACAGGTTTTATTCAACAATGTGCTGCAGGTTCATTGTAGCGAACGCTCTGTACATGGTTGGTGGCTCCAGTGTGGGGTTGCTCATCCTGCTTCAACCCTGCCGTACCTCCCTTCCCAACCCCCTGTGCTCCAAGACTGCAGGGCTTCTCTGCTTGCTGGTAAGTTTGCTTTTTTTCTTGGGTTTTTTTTTTTTTGATAGTGAGCTGCTACTTGGGGATGACTAGAAACTGTGACTTAATTACAGGCAGTCCTCCACTTAAGATGTTTTGAGTTGGAGCGAATGGCACTTACAACATTTATAAATTGAACACCCAGTTTTGACTTTCTGATGTCAGTTTCGACTTTACGACACTTGATCCGACGCCATGCCAGCAAACAAGTTCACTGCGTCGCCCATCTCCCAGGAACACATCTGGCCAAACTTGCTTTGACACTTTCTTTAAGAAAGCAGAGAAGACTCCAGAAAAACCTGCAGCTAAGACTCCTGAGAGACTCCTTCAAAAAGTCCAGCAAAGTCACCTCCAAGAAGTCCTTCTAAATCAATATATTGCTATTTACAATATACATACATTAATATAGCTGTATCACTCATCTATAATTGATTGAGTAGAAAATTCTGGGGTATTTTTGGTGAAAATAGGGAACCAATCCCCCACTTATAACATTGTTCCTATGGGAAAATCGGTTCCGAGTAACGATGTTTCGACTCAAGATGTGGTTTTCAGGAATCAACTGTAGTGTGCGTTCGAGGACTGCCTGTACCCCGATTAAGCCCAGGGAAGCTATTCGTCCATGCTTAATAACACATGGATTAATGGCTTCACCAGGTTTAATCAGGGTAATTAAGCCACAGTTTTGGGCCATCTGGCAACCTGTGGGGAGAGGCAGGACTGCCAGGCCCCCTCGCTCAATCAGAGGTGTGGGGGGGGCCTATTGCACCCCACTTATGAAAATGGCAGCTGGCCCCAGGGTCTGCTCATGAAGTCAGCCAGCCACCACCTTGAGTTCAGTAGACCCCCTACTTATAAGGCATAGAACTTGACTGCCTGGAATTAAGTTACATGACCCACATTACATTTAAAATAAATAAATCCCACAATCAATTAAAGTTTTAAAGGCCATCACCAGCTGAGAAGGGTGCATGTTTGTAACATGAACGGTCCACCAGAACTTGACTGACACCAGGACCAAAGTGAGATCCCATTGCTGGTAAAACGCCCTTTGTTGAAAAGATGGTCAGGGTTAGGGCCTTCAAAAAGCCAGGCTGGTCCGAGTAACATACAGGAGTTCTGCTAGTCTGCAGGAGCCCTATTTGTTTGGCGGGTGAAACTTGGAAACACATTTGTGACTTGAGTCAAGTTTTCAAAACTTTGGCCATGAAACTCCACTTGGCTCATGGTTATTGCAGGGCCATGGTGTCACTTTGTAAAATAATAGATACTATACCTGAGCATAGCACATTCCCTCAATAGCCATCCCTGAAGCAATATCCACCTGAAAGAAGGGAGACTTGTCTGAAATACACAGCACTCAAAGCAGTGAACATTTTAATAAGTAGCTTCCATTAAGTTTCAGTGACTATTGTTCTAGCTCTTCATGTAGGATTGCAATGTGAACCTGGAATTAAAATTCTGCCCTGACAAGTTAACTTCATCTTTCAAGAGATCTTACCCCAATCTTACAAGGGATCTAAATGCCTAGTTTAAGGCAAGAATCAGAATCTGGCTCTGAAGAAGCATTATAGTAGTTCTAATAAATGACCTGCAAGAAGTCATTTTTTGCCCCCCAGAATACTTCAAAACCTTTTTTCCTCTTTCAAAAAATAAAAGCCCTTAATTAAAATGATTACCTCTATTCCTCTGTTTATTGCCAGTTTACCCATTTTCACAGCAATTGGAGCCTTTATTAAAATGAAAGAGATGTGTAAGTAACTGAAGCTATCAGAATGTGCAGTAGCTCAGTAATTTCATTATGTCTTGTTTCCAAATGAGCTTCCTGTCTTTAGGACTTTACAGGTAAGTCAGTGCTATGTTATATTTTACAAAGTGAAGATCACCTAAAATTCATACACGTGCTTGATGCAGCAGAATCTGCAGATTTGGGCGCTTAAAGCTTTGATTCTCAACTGGGGTGCTGTAAGACTTCTGGGTGCCATGTAATATTAGCACTGTTATGTGTAGATATTTGCACCCCTGATTCACAAGATAAACCTAGAGATTTCAAATAGGAATCCATAGTGTCAAAAGCATTCTGCACTGCTGTGGTTTTTCTGAGTTCTTTGCAACAACAATATTGCTCTATTATTTTTCCACAATCAAGAAATGAGTGAATGCTAAGGAGTTAGCATTTTCTTGAGTTTCAAAAGGTTGAGAACCACTGGCTTAAATCCAAAGCCTGATTCTCAGAGGTGCTATCTGCCTGCAACTCCCAGTAAAAAAAAAAAAAAACAAAAAACAGCTGCCTGTGCTCAGTGCCTTTACAAGTCAGGTTACAGGAGGCCAGCAAACTTAGGGTAGACTGGGACTGTGTCACCGTTGGATGTGCAGAATGCCAGTACCCACCAGCATGACTTGAAATGTCTTGTGATGCTTGTACTGACCTGCTGACCACAGAGCAGTGTCCTGACCTTTTAACTCTCTAAGGGGCTGGTTAAGTGTCTCAGCATTACTGACAGTTAGACACAAGAGGAAATGCAGTGGAGGAAGGGGAAGATTGTTCTGAGTCATCCAGACTCGCTCAGGAATCTGAACCTAAGGTAAGTTCTCTTTCTCTTGCTGAATCTCAAGGGCCTGGGTTTCAAAATTTGCCTCCTTTTGGAACAATGGAAGCTCAGTGTGCCCACAAATCAGATAGCTACTTTGCATCTTCAACTATTTGAATTTACCAAGATTTTACTGTTTCATGGAGAAAGTGGGGAGCTAATTAAGTCTCATCAAGCACACAAGCCCCCTCTTTTCATGAAGTAAGCCAAACTATATACTGACCCGAGGAACGATTTCTTTAGCCAGAGCTAATGCTTTCTGGTAAGCAGCATCCTCCTGCTCATTCTGTGGTACTGCATGGTTTACCAGTCCGATTGAGAAGGCCTGCTGTCCGTCAATCTGTCTGCCAGTGAAAATGAGCTCCTTTGCAAGACCTATTCCAATACAGCGGGGCAGGCGCTGGGTTCCCCCTTAAGATAACAATCAGAACACCATGTTAGGTCTCTGTGACTCAAATGCTAAAAAGGTTTTGGTCTCCTGCCATGTAAAATACACCACTGAGGAGTAGCAGCAGGTACCTCTATTGCATCTGCCACCTTGGTGTTCTACCAAAAAACATTCAGTAATGGCAGTGCCCTCTGGGGTATTGGTGTAAACCCACTATAAATGTAGAAGGCTAGGGCAGAGGCGACTTGTCTAAGATTACAGCAATCAATAGCTTAGCACAAAATCCTGGATGCCAACTTCTGCCTCTGTTCTGAGTGCTCAATACCTTTCCCTTGTAAAGCTCTTCCTCAAATGCTGATGGAAGGTTTTTGAACCCGAAAGCTTGCTTAAAAATTGTTCTCCAACTATTTAAGTTGGTCTAATAAAAGATATCAGATTCACCCAAAGAACCTTGTCTGCCACAGTAAAATCTACTTCCCCAGCTGTAGTATGTAACAATTGAATGAAGCAAGGTTACCTGCACCAGGAAGAAGCCCTCTGGTGGTCTCAATCAGACCCATTTTGGCTGAAGAAGCTATTAAAAAAATAAAAGGTGGGGAAGGGTGATGCATTATTTTCATACAGGAGGAATCTGTTAACACAAATAGGAATTTTCACCCAGAGAAAGCAACTCTTATTAAACCCCAAAGGAGTACTGACAACACAGCAGTCATTCTGCTAGTCGACTTCTGCTAACAACTCAGCTACAGTCTGCTGTTTTTACAGACTTGTGTATGGCTAGAACATATCATTTACTAAGCTGACTAGAGCTGTGAGTCTTGATAGAGCCTTACCTGACAACCGTAGCATGTTGCACAAAAAGAGGGTAAATGTCCTGATGTCAGCTTAAGCTGACAGTTTTGCTGCTTAAACTCACTGCTCTAACCCTTATCCATCTTGAACTTCCTGCAGCATGTATATGTACAGACTCCATTCTGGACCATCCTCAAATACTGGTGCTTGCTATGTTGATTAAGACTGGCTGTAGACAGAGCTGCCTGTTGTATATGAATTTTTCTTTTAAGCCAACATTAAGTCATGCAAACTGCTGTCTCAACTGGATGTACGTGGTTACTACCGTTTGTTTAGGTAGCCAGAAAGAGGATGCGATGATTAGAGTCCTAATCAACCTCAGCTACAGATGAGGTGGAAGTGACTGAAATATCCTTCCTGGCTGCTTGCAGGTAGTTTAGCAAGCTTACTGGGGGAAAAAATTAGGGATACATGTATAAGAGATAAGACTAAAGGGCTGTGTGCAGGGGAACTGGAATCAAAAGTGTACTCTGCTAGCGTTTTTAAAAACTTTCACCACTCATTTACATGGCACGTTCACTAACGGTAAATCCTCTTCATGCTGAGGTCTGGCAGTCTGATGAGAGCATGCACACACTAGAGGTAGGGTCGTTACAAGACTTCATGGGACTGGGAACTGTGCTAAAAGACTCTGCTATCTCTGAAATGAATGCAAGGGGGGAAGAGACTGTTTGGTTAGTTTTAGCACTATCCTGAATTCCAGCTAGGACAAACCAGACAGTTTGACTCTACTGTGTAACACAGCTTTGGTGCAAAACTGATTGATGCTGGAATAGAATGTATCTGTTTTGAAAAGATGTAGCAGCTTGCTGGTGTTATGCAAGTTAGGTGGCCAGGTCCCGTTGCTGACTGACTTTCCACAGATCTTCTCTCCCACCAACCTACAGGGCCCTTACTTCTAACATAAGCAGCTAGATCATGCTACAGTTGTCTCACAGAATTAATCTTCTGGTGGATGTTCCCATATCATCTCAGCATACAGGAGATTAGCCCCTGAAAATTACATTGCTACCCCATCTGAATACTGTGTTTTACCTTTTAAAAAAAAATTAAAGGTGTTTCCTGATAGTCAGGGATCCTGGTTTTCTCTAATAAAAAAAACACACACCACCCTCCTCCCCTTACAATTTTTGGATTTAAAAAAGTAACCCAAAATCCATACTTATTTATAGGTATCCAGGCTGTAGCTGTATTGGTCTAGAGAAAAAAGGCGATC